AACACCCATTCTTTAATGAAGTTCTTGGTTCCTCCATCTCAACACAACATCCATTCTCTAACGAAGCTCTTGGTTCCTCCATCTCAACACAACATTCTTACCTCAGCTCTTAGTTTCTTGATTTCCAACGTCAATTCTTCACACTGCTGTGTATACTGCCATTTACAGGTCTTCTCATTCTCTACAATCTGAACTAAGTGAAGATGCTTTTGTTCTAATTCCTCTTTCTTTAGCATAGTTTTGCTGAAACTAAGAAGGAAATGATTTCAAAGAATGGTGATACATTTTTAAGTATTGTAAAACTTCATAAGCTTAAATGTATTTTTTGAATAGATCAGTTGAAAAACAGAAGCCGCAAAAATGCTCAGAAAAATCAGGTTTTAGAAACTATAAAATCTTGATGTATTGATCGTTCATTTTAGTAAATTTTCAACGTTTTACTTTACTTCTTGTTTTGTTTTTTCTGTACTTGAGAGGTAAATATTTTCTGTTTACATCTATATTTGCTGTTTTTCATCACTATAAACCATATTGATAGCTTTTAAGATAATACTAAAATTTGAAAAGACTGAAAGCTCGTTCTAAAATATATAAAAAAACGATGAAAAAAATCCACTTATAAACCTCTACCACATTACTACTGTATTGGTACGCTAAGCCTAATCTTTAGGGTGTTATTGAAATACACAAATCTACAGATACATATGAACAATTATCAAATTATTTTAAACTTTTCTTCATAATTCCACACAGAATTCAACATTAGAAGATTTCTTTACTGCTCTAATTGAATAGCTAATTTAATGATCACGTTTTCTTATCCAATCACTAAGACAAGACGACACCTGTTGGTGAAGTGGGACAATAAAGAAAACATCAGAAAATCACCACATACCAAAATGTTAATTATCTTTTCCAAGGTTACAATAAAATAAAAAAAATACATCGAAACGAATTTTACAGTGATAAAGAATGCTTACATAAAATAGATAAGATTTTAACGTGAGATAGAGAGTACAGGGCAGACGTAGATACACACATAGACAGTAAACGGAAAGATTTAGAGAAGCGGGTGAATAACGATAGGAGTATCTAATATTACCTAGCGTTCTCAATCGACTGAATCCAAGCGTTACATTCCGACTCTGTTTCTGCTTTCAGTTCGTACTGTCTCGAGCCTTCTTTACGGTAGCTGATTAGAAAGCAATGCTAGAAGAAAAACAACAACAGACAAAAAACTTAGATTAATTAACAACGGCAATTCCTAAAGCGAAGTGCTTTAGTTTAACGCACTGCTTAGCGATGGAATAAGGTGGATGTGGCCTAGTGATGAGCGTGCTTGGACTGTGAGTTTGGAATCCACGAAATGTGGTTTGTTGCCAAAAAATAACATGCCCCGAATTTTGGGGTCAAGTCCCACTATTCGATTAAACAAGAGTAGCCCAAGTTTTGGCGGAGGTATCTGTCGACAAGTTATCTTCACGCGAGTGTATTAGTTCAAACTTCGTACGGCTATGCGCAGATAGCCATTTTCTAGCTTTGCGTAAAATTCTATAAATAAACAAACGGTAAATATTGGCTTACTGTCTGACCCTCCCTGGACCAAATCCCGACGACTATTAGGGCTAGTTGACCGGGGGTAATATGTGCAAGACAACAGAAAAGGAAAATATACATTATAAACGTGATTTGGTTTAGAAAACCGGACCAAATCCCGACGACTATCAAAGCTAGTTGACTGGGGGTAATATGTGCAAGACAACAGAGAAGGAAAATATACATTATAAACGAGATTTGGTTTAGAAAACCGTCGGTCTCACAATTCTGCTTACGTAGAAAGGCTGGAGAATGTTTTAACTTAAATATCAGGTCGAAATTTGTCTGGATTTATATATACGTATATATACGAAACAAGTTTTATTCACTTTAAGACACAAGCAGTGCTACAGTACAAGCATTGAAAACACTGGCAATGTTACAGGCGCTACAGTACCAGCGCTGAAAATACTGACGGTTTTATCACACCAGTTGGCAATGTTACAGTTGCTACAGCACTAGTAACGAAAATACTGGCGTTGCCATTACATTGGGATGCCAGTAATGTAGGGATTTTATTTCCCATGTAAAGTCGAGACAGCTTAATCGGCTATGTGACCATTAGCTGATCAAGTGTTATGTCCAGTTCCATCTTTTTTCTGGTTTGCTTCCTTTTTCAAGTTCAGTAGCTAGCCCTAGATAGATTTTTAATCTGGCAATAATTTCTATCCTGATACTTCTTTGTTTACCCTTTTTATAAGATGGAGTACGTGGGTTGCTAGGGTAAAGAGTGCAATTTAAAGCTTTATAAATTTTTCATACAATAATATTATAATAGGTAGTCAAAGATCGTGAAGACTGTTTTGCTCTATCAAATGATGATAAAATTATAGTTACTGCTAAAGCTAGGTAGGCGTTAAGCCTGTTGAAGAAAGATGATGAGGAATGAAATCTCGGTTTTTGGTTATCAGCCTGTTTTCGACTTTGGGACGCTCTGGATAGCTGAAAAGCGGCATATACGCCGGAGATAAAGCGATTATGTCAGGTAGCTCTTCATATATAGCTTCTGATAAACTGTAGAGAAGAAAATCCAGATGACTTTTGTATTGCTTTAACACGGGCGTCCGTGCCATCCCTACCTAGAGAGTGCTAGCGCCCTCTCTGATAAAACCGTTGTAATTAGCCAAATAACTTTCTACATTGTTATTTTTTTATATTTTATGTTGCTGTTGCTTCTTCGAAAGATAAAAAATTGCCAAATTTACTGTATATGTTTTAAATAATTCGTCATAGTCTTTTTACGTTCACAATGCCCATCTACGAGCCGATATTTTGTGATCGTTATAAAATATTTAAATATGAATTCTAGTTTTTGATGCGTGCCACGTTCGCCTTAGGCGAGTCAATGTTAGTTCACAGGTCATTTGTCGTGAGCTTAATTGGATATTACATTTTAATTCATGCTTAACTGACTAATCATTAAGGTTTCTTTCAAACATAAAATCGATTCTGTTCTTAAAGTACTCTTCAGTCTAAAACTGCTTACCTCAGTACTCTGTGGTTTTCCCACACGAAGAAAAAGTGAACCGCGAAGCCTTTTAAACATTGTAGAAAAAAAAAACTCTGATAGGCAAGAAGAAAAAAGTACAGAAGCTTAGAAAATATACATCAAAGGAGCTTGATATTTCAAAACAATATAAAATTTATGTTCTTCAGAGTTTGATCTGTAAACATCTGCACGTGAATGAAGTTTTTATTAACTCTCTGTAGTAAACCAGTATTATCAACCAGAAGGTTAACAACTAGATCAGTCTTACATCAACCTGAAGGTTAACAACTAGATCAGTCTTACACCGATCTGAATATTATCAGTTAGATCAGTCTTACATCAACCTCAAGGTTAACATCTACACCAGTCTTATACCAACCTGAATATTATCAGTTAGATCAGTCTTACACCAACCTGAATATTATCAGTTAGATCAGTCTTACATCAACCTGAAGGTTAACAGCTACACCAGTCTTACATCAACCTGAATATTAACAGCTACACCAGTCTTACACCAACCTGAATATTAACAGCTACACCAGTATTACATCAACCTGGAGGTTAACAATTATATCAGTTTTACACCAACCTGAAGGTTAACAGCTACACCAGTCTTACACCAACCTGAATCTTAACAGTTAGATCAGTCTTACACCAACTTGAATCTTAACAGCTACCCCAGTCTTACACCAACCTGAATATTAACTGCTACACCAGTCTTACATCAACCTGAAGGTTAACAATTAGATCAATTTTACACCAACCTGAATATTAACAGCTACACCAGTCTTACATCAACCTGAATCTTAACAGCTACCCCAGTCTTACACCAACCTGAATCTTAACAGTTAGATCAGTCTTACACCAACCTGAATATTAACAGCTACACCAGTCTTATATCAACCTGAAGGTTAACAGCTACACCAGTCTTACACCAACCTGAATATTATCAGTTAGATCAGTTTTACACCAACCTGAAGGTTAACAACTAGATCAGTCTTACACCAACGTGAAGGTTAACAACTAGATCAGTCTTACACCAACCTGAAGGTTAACAACTAGATCAGTCTTACACCAACCCGAAGGTTAACAACTAGATCAGTCTTACACCAACCTGAAGGTTAACAACTAGACCAGTCTTACATCAACCTGAATATTAACAGTTAAATTAAGCTTATATCAGCTCAACAACTACACCAGTTTCATACTAGCTCAACAATCACATCAGTGTTAAGCTAGCGCCTCAAAAAACAGATGAACAACAACCATATCCCTGTTAAGCTAACACATCAGTAGCTAAATCAGTTACATCCACATCAGAGTTAAGCTATCACATAAATAGCTAGATCAGCAACAACCACATCAGCGTTAAGCTAGCACATGAATAACTAGATCAACAACAACCACATCAGCGTTAAGCTAGCACATGAATAGCTAAATCAGCAACAACCACACCACTCTTAAGCTAGCACATCAATAACAACCACATCATTGTTAAGCTAGCACATCAGTAACTAGATCAGCAACAATCACATCAGTGTTAAGCTAGCACATAAATAACTAGATCAGCAACAACCACGTCAGTGTTAAGCTAGCACATGAATAACTAGATCAGCAACAACCACGTCAGTGTTAAGCTAGCACATGAATAACTAGATCATCAACAACCACATCAGTGTTAAGCCAGCACATGAATAACTAGATAACCAACAACCACGTCAGTGTTAAGCTAGCATATCAATAACTAGATCAGCAACAACCACATCAGCGTTAAGCTAGCACATGAATAACTAGATCTTCAACAACCACGTCAGTGTTAAGCTAGCACATGAATAACTAGATCAGCAACAACCACGTCAGTGTTAAGCTAGCACATGAATAACTAGATCAGCAACAACCACGTCAGTGTTAAGCTAGCACATGAGTAACTAGATC